AGGTAGAGTAGAAATTGAAATTCATCTTTAAGACTCCAAACCCAGTAGCACTTGATTCTTTTTAGGCATTGAAAATTCCATGGAAAATTTTAAGTTGTATATGTAAAGGATTTTGTTTTTGTCATTTGCATTTTCACAGATATCTCCAATTCATAGTGATGACAGAACTGGCTTGTACTGCCCTGCCATGGCCCTCCCTAGAGCCCCATTTTTTTCTGGTGTTTACCCTGTTTTCTCAGTCAGTGACCATTGGCTCAGAGATGCATTATAATATTTGTGGGCCCTAAACATTTTGTTTTCTTCCATAAAAATATCAAAAGAGTATATTTTACTCTAAAGGTATAAAAATGAATATATTAGAATTATATATTTAAGCACTCACTTTGATCACAAGTTCTTTTCATTCTTCTGACTAAAACAATATTAAAACACTTTCCTGGTCCCCTAAAATATTTTAGGCTCTAGGAAATATGCTTATTGTCTCAGCTTAATAGAAAAGTTGCCCCTGAAGCAACCTAAATTGGGCAAGCCAGAAACTTGGAATTTGTCCATAATATTTTTTTTCTTCCCTACCCACATCTGAATCAATATCTCCCATCAAATTTACCACTTAACAGTCCAAATTCCCTTCATTTTTTTTCTCCCTAACTTCACTTTCACCTCCATAGTCTAAAGAGCCACGCCATCTTGCCTGGTCTTCCATTATTTTTAGATTTCTCACCTATATTATCACTAGTGCAACCAGAGTGAGCTTTTAAAAAACAAATCTCTGGTTTATAACCTTCTAAGAGCTTCCTCATCTTCTTGGGATAATGAAAAGCTGAGCTTGTAGAAGCAGAGAGCAAAATAGTGCTTACTAAGCAAAGGCTGATAAACCAGAGGGTGGAGAGATGGGCCAATAGGTACAAAGGGCATTCTGGTGTTCTATTACACAAGGAGCAATTAGGGCTAATAATATTGTGTTGCATAACTCAAGTAGCTAAAATACAGGATTTTGAATGTTTTGAAATATTTGAGAGGACTGACAACTTTGGAATCTAGAGTTGATAAATATACAGTGTTTAAGTCTACCAAAACGCACACTGTATGTCCTCTGTAAAGACCTAGAATTATTGCCTAAACAGTTATGAAAAATGCTCTTAACCTCTAAGCTCCTGGAAGAGCTAGCTCCTGTCTCTCTCATTAAACCAATCACACAGGACTCTAACTCACTCTTTCTACTGTGGCCACTCCGGGGCTTCTCTCAGTTCCCTGAATTGCAGCTTTAGACTGCATCTCATGACCTTGTGATATATACTTTCCTCTGGAATGTCCTTCCTCCCCCACCCCCGCATTGCCAAATTAGTTACTAGCCATTCTTTTCTTATTTCTTCAAGAGCTACTTTATTGGGGAATCCTTCCCTGAACTACCTTATATAGCTTGGATCAAGTAATATATTTTCTAAGTATACTGTATTTCTTCTTTGTATTGTTTTAAAATTTACTTAAATATCTAATTGTGCAAATTACATAAAATTTGTCCATTTAAAGTCCATACCCACCAGAGGGTAAATGCCGTGTCTAATTTGTTTACCATTTCTTTCCCACTGTGCCTGCTACACAGTAAGTCCTCAATAACTGTCATTTGAATGAATAAGTGAAGAATGTATGTTGGTATGCCATCAAATGTTTCCCATTTTTAAAGTTCACAACAAAGTTTTTTGAGGCCTCAAGTAGATTTTCAAGATGAAAGCCATTCACAATCTCTACTCTCATGTAGTTTTTTTTTTTTTTTTTTGTACACGATGAGACACATAGAAGTTAAGTAAATAATAAATTAGTTACAATCTCTCTAGTTGTTTAATGTTCTAAAGGAGTGGGCAAGATACCAAGTTAGCCTCTGCAAGCTACCTAATCCATAACAGAGAAATAGTTTAGATTCTAGAACAAATTCTCCTCCTCTTCCTCCTCCTCCTTCTTTTTTTTTTTTTTTTTTTTTTTAATTTTGAGACAGAGTCTCACTAAGTTGCTTAGGGCCTTGATAAGTTGCTGAGGCTGGCTTTGAACTCGTGATCCTCCTGCCTCAGCCTCACAAGTTGCTGGGAGTACAGGTGCACACTCAGCTAGAACAACACAGTTCCTATTGTTCAGGATAAACCTTTTTCCTCTGCCTTGAATTCACTATGAGATGTACAGAGTGTTGAAGAACAAAATGGCTCCCTCCACTGCCCACATTGAATCATTGAGTTCATGTCTGTAACCTGGACACTTAGTTGCACTGAACAAAACTACAACTGGATGGGTTAGTCTTCTGATCCTTTACAGTGGAATTATTCTGTTTTGTTGATTTGGGCACTGTCCTGATGATGATTCAGCTGTGATTAGGTTATCTAGTTATTTAAGTAGGATAAAGTTCTGAAAAAGGTAAGTTGGATTCCTCAAGATAAACACAAATATTAATGAGTACATTAAATGATTGAACTATTATGAAAGAACTGATATGTTCTTTATTATGAAAATTGTGGATCTGTCATCTTCCAAACTTTATAGATCAGAAAGCAGCTAAGCATTCTAAGTAGTTGGCTATGATCTCAAGAGCGTGAGCCAGAGAGAAACTTTGATGAATATTCTAGTGGACGAAGAAATTGTTTCAAAACTTCCATCTCATGTGGAAAGATCCCATTCTCTATTTCATTTACTGATTTCTGGCATAAAAATTAGAAATAATAACCTCATTTTATAGTTGATGTAATGGAGACTCAGTGAAAGGATGTAATTTATCTAACATGACAAAATTTCTTAGTGATACTATTCAGTCTAGATATTGACTAGAGGTTAGTGACATGCCTGTTTTATCATACTCCTTTAGCTCTTCAAGTGTCAATCGATTCACAATCAACTCTTATTTGCACACATATTAAGCACATTGTGATCTGTGCAGAGTGAGTCATTTGTCACAATTTATGTGATACATACTGCATACCTCCTTTTCTTCACTGTCAATTTCTCTGCATTCAGAAGTCTACATAGTAAAAACAGACTGAGAAAAGCAGAAGTAGAAATGCAAGTGAAACATGTCCCCACCTAAACACAGAGGCAGACCTGCCATGTGTAATAAGAGGGAGAACCAAAAATCATCAGACAGCATCCTTAAACTATCACAGAGAAATAAGGTACTGCAATGAGAAGATTTGCTCTTTGGAGTCAGAAAACAATAGAAATGTAACTATACTGATTTTGTCAGGTGACCTTGGACAGTTCAATTTACTGTTTAGGGTCCTGGGTATTTCTCCTGTAAATCTGAGATAATAAAACCTACTAGCATTGTGTAAGAGTATCTTCTCCTTTTTCTAAAATCTTACTGGAAGGGGAATGGGAATCTGCAGCATTGCTTATTCACTTATCTCCCATTTATTCCACTTTGCAGAGGGGAATCATTTCTAAAACGATAATCTAGATTGGGAGATAATTATTGGGCAAGGAAGGGATCAATGTTCATTAAAATGTCCTAGTGCATGTGTCAGCATATCAGCCTCTACACAAACTGTCTGAGCCATGCAGCTTGCTGGAAGATGTTACCATCCCAAGATGTAGAGGCAGGATTCAGGGAGGACCAAGGCTCAGAAACTAAGCCCTGAGTTGCAATCAAATTCGCCAAAGTGTCCTTGCTGCTTGGCCATTATCCCACTTTTAACAACATGGGGCATTACTCTGATTTCATTGTCTGCAAAACAGGTAGTAATGGTACCTATCTTGAAGGTTATTGATGAATAGAGTTAAAATCAAGTGAAGGACTGAATTGAATTCCTGACATAGAGTGCTGAAAAACTTTGTATAGACTAAATGAATATTCTTATAAATAATTCTTTATTCTTATAAAGAATCTTATTGTGATCTCCATTTTTTTTATTTTTTTTAAAAATATTTTTGATCCAGAGGATTGAACCCAGGAACACTTAACCACTGTGCCACATCCCCAGCACTTTTGTTTTATATATTATGACAGGGTCTTGCTAAGTTGCTTAGTGATTTGCTGAGGCTGTCTTTGAACTTGCAATCCTCCTGCCTCAACCTCTCAAGCTACTAGGATTACAAGTGTGCACATCATGCCCCGCTGTGATTGCCATTTTAAAGATGAAGACACTGAAAGCCAGAGAGGTCATGCCACAGGTAGAAGATACCAGAACCAGCATTTGAATCAAGGCCAGCTCACTCTAAATTGCATTAGCAAACGTCAGACATTTCTCTCCTTTTCTCTTTTTTCCTCTTCTTTCCTCTCCTTTCTCCTTTCCTTTTTATTTTGCAGTGCTAGAGAGCTAACCCAGAGCCTCCTTGTACATGCTCTAATATTATGTATTTCTCGATGGAGAAAGTATAGGAAAAAAAAAAAAAAATATATATATATATATATATATATTCTTGCCTGCCTGTTGCAGAATTGAAAAGAGAGGGAGGAAATGGACAGTTTAACTCTGAGCAACACAGTATGACATCTGCTGACTCATTTCTACTTTTCAGTGACATATAAATTATCAGAGGGTCTGAAGAGGTGAGTTGATCTTAGGGTGAGAACTGAGTCTTCAAGATCTCTGATCTAGGTAGTCACTGGCTATTTATTTCCAAAACTCTACTTATAAAAATAAAACAGAGAGTTAGCTCTTATCTGAAAAGGAAGAAATATAAAGTGAATTTGGGAGCTTAGGAATTATGAAAAAAGCCACTAAGTCTCTGTGGAGAGATATCAAATATTGCCTGCAGTTCTCAGATGCAGGACTCATTTGGTATCATCATTCATGGTGCAGAAGCCAGTGAAGGGGAAAGTATGTAGTGAGGAAGAGGAAAGAGAGAAAGACACACACACACAGAGGCAGAGAAAGACAGAAGTAGAGAAACAGGGAGAGAGAAAGCCAGAGACAGAGAGAAATATAGCAAAAAAAGGGATTTTTATAAAATAATCAGTAAATGTCCTTACAAAAACATGCTTCCATTTGACCAAAATGTGTTAGATGAAGGGTACTCACCAAAGAGAATCCAATTCCCAGGCTTTAGTTTTGTCTCCTGGGAAGCTGTTTACTGCTAACAACTCGCCATAAACTGCAGCCTTCAGATCTGCATTCTCTGCCCACTCCCTCACCTCAGAGACACACCCACTTTGCCTCTCTTTTCGCTGATACTGTGGTTATTTAGCCCAGCCAAAGCAAAACTGTACTTGATATTTTTTCCAAACGCCAATTCCATACAGCTTAGTTAATCCTACTCTACAATTTAAAAGTATAATATGTGCCTTGTGGGAGAGAATTTTAAATTTCAGCAGCAGTACTTGATTCACAAAGTACTTGAACACGTGCTTCTTTGCGTAAATGAGCCAGGCCTTTTGACTTGGAAATAAGCCCATTTCCCTCACCCCCATGTCATAACAGACAAATTCCATGGTGATTGTGGGAGGAGAGGCAAGTGCAACCTGCACCGTGGAGCTGTCTTGAGTACCTAGAAGAGTCGCACTCACGCAGGTTTTCATACAAAGAAAGGCACTATGAGGAAATTGGTGCACATAATGTTAAACAGGTTCTGCTCATCCTGCCAGATGGGAAGGTAATTCAAAGTGATTTCCAAAGTTCCACCCTATAGATTTTACAGCAGTCTTCTGGTATAAGTCATTATACTTTTTTTTCCTTCTTTTTTCTCATAAGGTATATTGATGCAAGGACATATATTATCTAAGAAACACACAATAATGTTGTTGAAATAAATAGTTAAATAAATAACGAATGGGTATAGCTTTGTATTGGTCCTATGCATGAGGCAAACACACAATACATACACTTAAAATAGATCTGTGATGTCGAGTTTGGCAAGATTCAAGTTAGCAGTAATAGAATGTATTGGTTAATGTCTCCGAGATGTCCTCAAAAAGAAGATACCAAGATTAAAAAACAAACAAACAACAACAACAAAAAAAACTGTGTCCAGTGGTCAGAGCCTCATATTCATTCTTAGTCCTTAAATTCATTTTCTTTAGCAACTCAGAGATGGACATGGTTAATGACTTGAGTCACTCTAACCAGACTTATGCAGTACTTATATATAAATTGGTCACTGATCCATGACTTTACTGAAAAATAGCACCATAAAAAAGCATATTTCCATATAAGTACATTTTCCTGGTAGAAAAATCAATGTAGGAAGCCAACTCCTTTATAATCTGCTTTCTGAACATACTGAAAAATCAAGAAGAAAGGTATATTTTCCTTAAGATATCTGTTATTAAATGATAGCAGCAACAATCTCTACAACAATTATTTAATAATAGTACTAAGTATAACACAAATGATAAATGCAAAGCCCCCTTGTTTACCTCATGTAATGTCTTCTACTGAAAGTATTATGAAATGTGTGTGTCAGTCAAGTTATTATTTTCAAAGTGCATTCCTGGAAATGCTGATCTTTGTTTTTTTGGACATCTTTTATCCTGGGCTCTGATTCTACATTTCCCTTAATATGTTAATATTATGAGTGAGAAAAAATATGGATATATCTCCTTATTTGGATTCCAAAATATGCTCTTCATTTGGCTATGAAGCAATTGCTAAAATCGCCATTGGCCTGTTATTTTCTAGATTTACTCACAGAAGTCATCTTTTCTTCCTGAACCCCTAGTTATTGACTTCATCTGACCAGAAGTTTTTCCATTAAAAATATTTAAAAGCTCTAGCTGCTCACAGGAAATTAGGAAACTCAAGGACAAAAATACTTGTGATGAAATGAATGTTTTTGCTAAGTATATAGGGAAAAGCATTAGGTTTGTTTTGCATATATAGATTTATTTTTCACTATAACCCAGTGAAAAGGAGATCAGTAAGTCCTATATACTTATAATAGTATTGATAATAATTTCTAAGTCCTAAATAAGTAAATTATTGTCAATAAGACAGCAGAAGAGAAATTTTCAACCATCATTCTGTGAAAAAGCATTATTTTTTAAAACTACCCATAAATGGGACTGCCTGGAGCCCAGGAGTTCAATGGGGTAGTTCTAGTACCCCACTTGAATAAAACAATACCAAAATTGATGCACTAAAGAAGATCAGAAGAATGGGTTCAGTGGTAGGGCTCTTGCTTCACACATGTGGGGCACTGGGTTCGATCCTCAGCACCACATAAATAAATAAATAAAATAAAGGTATTATGTCCATCTACAACTATTTTTTTAAAGGAGGTGTATTGAAGAATTTGAGCCTCAAGTATAAAACTATTACCCTGCATACTCTAGCTGGTAATTATTTACATTCCTCTCACCTACTCAAGCTAGTAATTATTTACATTCCTCTCACATATAAATGAAAGGAATTTAAATTACATGTACTCCCTCCCAAGTTCCACAAAAACCCCATCTGCAATATCATCTAAAACAGATTTTCCTGTGGACAAGGGCTTGGATGTTAGCTTCTAAAAGTATTGCCTATTGATTACAGTTTCTTTCAACCTGGAGACCTCTGAGGTAAAAGACATTACACTAAACATATAACAATGGAAATGGCCTAGGATAATCTCTGTGGACATTCCTATTCAATAAGGAGAAGGCGAGACACAAAAAAGTCACTGGACCATAACAAATTTGAAGTTTAGTCAGGTTAATGACAGAGTTTCTTGATTAGGACTTAGCTTACTCTTGCCCAGGAACATTTCTCCATGGGTTTACACTGTCCTCTGAATGAGTCTTTTTTCATTTCTGTGAAAGGTCCTCAGAGTCATATACCATTGCTTTCACTTTATTCTGTTTTTTAGGAGTGAGTTGTGAAGATCTGTCCACATGGAAATGGAAGAAAATTAGGATCACTTCTTAAAGTGATTTGTGGGAATATTTTTAAATACCCACATTTTCGGTTCGTTTTCTGCCAATTAGGAGAACTAGAGGAAAATGAAAATTGGGGAGTCGAGGAAGGGCCACTTCCTCTTTGCTTCCTATTCTTCTTAGCATTATCCTAGTAGTAGAGTTGGTTTTAACCACCAACTTTTGGTACTCCCTGAACCAGCTTTAACAGTAATAGAATTTCCTTCAGATTTTCCTTCACTGACCATAGACCCAGGTCTGCCAGGATTCTCAACTATGCTCATGCAGTACCAATATTAACTGTGAGCAGAGATTCTGAAAAATCCTAACTCCTTCTATTTGTTTCCCTGTCCTAGATCATAGATTATTTCCTGTAATTATTATCACTCAGTGTCCCTTTTTCTTCTTCTAGTCTTTCAACACCTCCTGTGGTTGACCAACATCATATATTACCTACCCTTTGCTGAAACACCTCATGTGGTTTCTGTTTGGACACCAACAAACTTATCTTTGTTTTCTTTCCTTATCAACTGTTTGTGATTTTCAGTGGAAAACAAAAGGTTGTTCCTGAGTATGATGACCTTGTAACTTTGAATCAGGATTTGCTGCACCTTTCTATATAGTAAGACACCAGTGCTTAAGAAATAAAAATGTTCAATTTATTTTAAAAATGGATCAAACTCTTGAATTCATAGCATACTAGATATGTTTGTGAGTAAACTAATGACATGAAAAAAATGAGGGATCTTAATTTTACCAGATTTTCAAAGATTTATGTGTGTCCCAAAGAAGAGCAAGAGCCCCTAGGTTAAGTTCCCCAAACTAGCTCATCATGGAAAACATTTGGAGGGATTCTTCGAAGATGCTGATTATTTTGAGTCTATTTCCAGCCAGAATGAGTCTGGGAAGGTTAATTTGTGAAAAGTTCCCCAGGAACACTTTATGGAAGCATTGGACAAGCACCTGACTTTCCTCCCATGAAGGAGGAAAGTAGACTGCCCCTGTCTACTTTGAGGGTCTGTCACATAGATGTGCTGAGCAAGCCTATTTAGGTTAAAAAGAACAGGCACTCTCCCAGATAATTCATGAAATTATCTTTCATTAGTGGTTATTAGATGATGATGAGGAGAAGATTTCATTGAATTCCAAGCACAGAAACAGCTTTGTAAAAGAACATAGTAGTTGGGAAGGCATCTCATCTTCGTGTTCTTTTCAGGGACCTAACTGCTCAGTTTTGCCTTCCTCTGAATACCTGTTATGATTTCTTTTACCTGATTCTGCTTGCTTTCTTTCTCTCTGGTAATATCAACTTTACACCTAACTCTAGTTTGTTCTTTAAATTCTCAGTTAAAATTCGGATGGGAAGTCTAATTTACTAAAATAATAGTTATTTGACCAGAGATGGTGCTATAGTATATGGTCAGGTAAAGCTTACCTAAATTTATAATATATGATCAAATAAACATGTTCTTTAGGGAGGTAGAGTCATATGGAAATGAACACCAAGTTGAGGATGTAGCTACTGAGATGATTTAGGATCAGAAAAGGCAAGATATATAAAATGTTCTGAGTAAACCATATAAAGTAAGGCTCAGGAAAGTATAATGAAACGTTAAAATCATAAAATTATAATGACTTTTAAAATCAACTTGAAGTATAAGTATTGTTATAGATCGATTTGGACTTTAGTGAGAGCTATGATGAGCTATAAGAATCCCCATTTATTCTATCCATGAAACATTATGTTGATTATGACAAAAATATAAAGATTTTTTTGTAGTTATATTAAAGAAGTGACACTCTGATCCTTCACATTTCTGAACTTCTGTTGTAGAATAACAAATTGTGTAGGACTTTAGGATGTTCTGAGATGTTGGTAATCCTACCTGTGCAGTGACATTGGTCAAACCATTTGACACTTATGTCCACCTCTTCCCCAGTTGAATAATGGACAACTCAAGAATAAATCCTTGGGAGTCTATAAAATTGACAATTCTCTAATAAAAGTATCTTCAAACTGTGACAAGAGAGATGAAAAATAACTTATATTCTCTAGGGCCAGCCATATGCTTGCTTTTTCCTTTAATATCAAGAGACTTGGTAGGTTTTACAAATCAGGGTAAAATTTCAATCATTTAGGAGGTTTAAGACATATCATAGTTTGGTTAATGAAATTTTCAGGTTAAATAAAATTTAACAAGAAAATCATTTTTCCCCTTGTTAAAATGTTTTTAGAGAAGGAATAAAAGTCCCAATTCCAAGGTACTTAGTTACCCTAACAAACATCCCCATCTTCTCTAAAATAAAACTCATAGATTTAACTATTCTGTTGTTCCTTTTGTTGTTCATACTATCCAAGAGCAGCAGGGGTTGAGAAGACTCTTGGCTTAGAATAGAGAAGTAAGTGGTTTAACCCTCTT